AAATAGTGTCTTATAGACTTTAGGCATATTACTAAGAAGAGTACTAATCTAAAAAGAGATTAAAGTGCCTAGAATACTATAGATTATAGCCTATGTATTAGGCTTAAGCTTATTAATAATCTTACGCTTTCTTAGTTACTTATTAGTTATCTTAGAATTTAGTTCTAATTATCTTTATAGTGTTCTAGATACTCTATTATCTAGTTATATAAGATTATCTTCTTTGCTAAATTAGACAACTTTCTTCTTATTTAGCGCCTAATAGCTTAAAGAGTGTTCTATTCTATTTTTATAACCTTAGAGATAAGAGATATAATTATTACTAGATCTTTGTAGTATTATCTTCTTCTAAACCTTAGAAGAATTATAAGATACTATCTTCTTAGGTTCTAAGAATACTCTAGAAATAGTTATAGCTACAATAGTATTATTATATTAATTTAGGTTTACTAGACGTAGGTAGTAGTCTAATTTATCTTTAGCAAAGATGCTTAAAAGCTTCTAGAATTATTCTACGTTATCTACTTAGAGGCTTCTAGTAGAGTCTAGTATAAGCTAAACTAAAATAGCGTTGTTTTCTACACTAATTAGAGCCTTTAGGTTACTAAACTAGGCGTTAACTATAAGAGAGTTAATATTCTTCTTTAGAAATTATTGCTTAATCTTAGCTAAAATGCTCTTAGCCTATAGTCTCTAGCCTAGGTTATTAATATAACTCTAGAAGTTCTCTAGCGTACTCTACTAAAGCATATTCTATTTATCTATGTAAAGCTAGCTCTTATCTATATATACTTAAAGAGTTAGGTAGTTCTACTTATAATAATTACTCTTATTATATACCTAATAATTTATAGTTACTCTAAGAGCCTGTCTATTTGTAGTACCTTAATTATATCTAGTTTCTAGATTCTAAAAGCCTTAGAAATTATTGTAGAAAGTCTAACTAGTATTCTATTAGTAACTACTATATTACTACTACTACTAAGGTTAATACTAGTTATTTAGCTAGAATTGCCTCTAGCTTTAAGGTAGGTACGCTCTTAAGTAGTTCGCGCGTTTATTAGCTTAATAGTCTACTTTACTACGTATATTAGAGTTATTTATAAGTTTAGTTTTATAGTAGATCTACTAGATCTTCTATAGTTCTATCTCTAGGCTAGTATAATTAATCTTTAGGTTAAGTATCTTATTAACTAAGTTATCTACCTCTATATTAGTAGGTGCTTTTTCTAGAGAAGACTAGAAAGTATAGAGTTTAAGTAGCTTATCTTAGAGTAGAACGTTAAGCTTAGGTAGCTAAAAAGCCTATATATAGTTATCTTAGAAGGTTAGTGCTAGTTACTAAGGTTGCTAATAGGCTATTAGCTGCGCTAGGTTAAATTTAACTTTTAGAATAATCTCTTTAACTACTTTAGAGAGGTTAAGTATATAAGCTTCTTTCTCTACCTCTAAATAGATAGTAAAGTAGTTACTAATTTTAGTGTAGTTAAATACCTTTAGGTTGTTAGTCTTTAAACTAAACTTATTAAGTATCTTTATAGTATGCCTAAAAGATAGTCTCTTAACTAGGTAGAAATCTTAGCAATTTTTATTAATAGTTAATACTTTAACATAGTGCTTACTGCAAATCTAAAACTTTTGTAGATACTTTTTAATATTTAGATTAGACCTTGCTTAGCACTAGAGAAGCTAGTACTTAAAGTACTTAGTCTAAGCTTTCTATTAGTCTTTGTTATTAGTACAAAAGAGCTTTCTAAAAGCCTCTCTAAACTTCTTCTAGAATTTAGTAACTAGAGCGTTAGAATATTTATTTAAAGCTTAGATAATTACTCTCTACTTAGGTTTGTAGTGCGCTAAAAAGTAATTAATCTTTATCTTATCTATAAACTTATAGTACTTTAATATATTCTTAAAACGCTTAAGAAATATAGTAACATTAGTTCTATTAAACACTAGAACTATCTCTAATAGGTATAGAGAAAGCTAGATAGAATAGACTAGAGAGTAATTACTTAGCTACTAGAGAGACTAAGCTATTATCTAAAGAAGCTTTGCTATATTATTATTCTAGAGTTATACTAGAGGTTATGCCTAAGGCTACTAGCTAGTAGTGCCTAAGAACTCTAGAATGTCTAGTATTTTAATATTCTTCTAGAATAACGTAGGTGTTGCTTTAGGTTTTATAGGCTTAGTTTAGAGAGGTAAAGATAGTTATTTAGTAAACTAGGCTTTTAAAGAAGCTTTAGCAACTAACTTAGATTATTTATTAACTTTAGCCTTATTAGATTAACTCTTACTTATTTATACAAGGTAGTATATAAGTATTATAAATAGTATAATAGCTAGTGTAAATGTTAAACGTATAAGTACTATTAATTAGGTTTAACTATTTGCTTACTAACAAAGTTAGGTATTCTTTACTAGAAAGGCTATTGCTACCTTTTTTATATACTATAATAGCTTTCTACTACTATCTTATTATTTAGCCTCTTTCTTTCTAGCTATACTAGAATTAAGATCTACTACGTTAGCTCTTCTAACCTTTCTTAAGTCTTATTATTTATTCTTAGTAGAATAATATAGCTATATACTTTTTATTATATTATTTTCTATCTATGTAGCTATCTAAGAGGTAATTAGCCTAGTCTAAACCTCTTATTTAGCTCTTTGTATTGCTTAGCGCAGCGCTACTATAGCTATATTATTTATTAGCCTAAGTAGTAGTTATTATTATCTAATTATTTATATTATTAGAGGTCTTTTAGTACGCCTACTTTTTAGGTGTCTATACTATTAAGTTTCTGTAGCTTATAGTTTGTTTCTACGCGTTTTTTAGGTATACTATTCTATATATTATTTTATTCTCTATTTTATATACTTACCTATTACTTATTCTATTATATTACGTAATAATTATATCTCTTCTAAAGCCTAGTTAAACTGTTATTCTAATAAGCCTTTAGTAGGTAAAATACGCACTTAAAGGTAGCGCGTAGCCTTTCTAAAGTAAAAGGCTAAATAAGTTAAGTTTTAGTTAGTTACTATATATAGTAGAGAGATTATAAGTATCTTTATTAGAATAGATACTTAATATAGTTAATTATATTATATATATATCTAGTTGTTATTCTTGTCTAAACGCTGTTTAGGCCTAGCTTTTTCTAGCGCACTAACTCTTAAGCCTAATAGCTATTTAGTCTATTATTATGTTACTAGTTTTACTACTATATTACTATAAATAAGATTAGCTATTACTATAAAGTAGATAGTTACTTATAAGTTATCTATGTTAGAGTAATTATAGGCAGCTATAAAAAGTGCAATAAAGTTAGTAAACTTTTACTTAATATAGAAGTTGCTAATAGGTTAGATAGTATATATTAGGTAACTAGAGTATACTTATAACGTTAAGCCTGCTTATTAAGAGGTAGAGGTAGAGGTAGTTGCTATCTTAGAGTGCGTAGATAGAGATAGGTATAGAAGAATTAACGCACAAGTGTAAAGATTTTATAATTCTATCTCTTCTAGGTATTAGTAGCATATAACTACGATAGTGTACTTTAGTTGTTAAGTTAAGATTTTTCTAAGTTCCTATAGTTGAGAAACACTGAAGCCTAAGGCTTACTTCGGACACGTGATCTCTGGGGTACGCGTTGCCGACGAAGGAACGGGTGCTATTTTTGGCGGAGCACCATGGTCCGATCGCAACAGGTAAGACGCCTGTAAAACGTCGACCTTCCCTCCTGCTATGACCACCACCTTGCATAAGTCGAAACGCGCCCGCTGTAGAGAGGACTGGCCACCAGTATGATCATCGTGAAGATGAGCTGACCAAGCGGGTGTTCTGCGGCGCAGCTGCCTGTGCGTGCCCAAGGTATCCATCGAGGCTGTGTGCCAGAGTTCATGCAAAACAACTCCTACACCCCGTGAACTTACACCTGCATCAAATTCGAAATCCAGGAGGCTAAGAACCTAGTTGCACGTCTGATTCACGCGCAGAGTCCTTTGTAAGCGACGATGATTCGGCTTCCATGAAACGTGATCAGGCCTCCATCGTGTTTACGCCAAATCGCTGCCTCAACAAAGGAGATACTCAAATTGCATGGAAGTCTGCATTCATGCTGATCGTGTGTTCTGTGGCGGAGCAAACTCCTGCTGTGGGTCGGCTACTGCTTCCAAGGTTGGTCAGAAAAGAGGCATAGGGCTGACGCATTCGCACTCGTATGGGCATATGATGTCGACGTGCCCAATCAGTCCGCGACACGCCGTCCCGTTGGTTTCTTGCTAACAGAGACGGACTATCATGGTTAGGACAGCGCGATCGAAATCTTGGCTAAATGGATAAACAGAAATGGTCGGGATGTGGTGGTATCGAACCAAGAAATTCATCTCTTTCGAGCGCAACCCATGTATCTTGCTCACACAACACACGCGACGACAGTGTCATGTGGGATGGTGGAGGACTTTTTGGCCGAGAACTCAGCGAGGCTTGTGAGTGGCGGGTCACGCGGGTAAAGGAAAGCGAGCTGTCTGAAATGAAGCATGTCCTGCTGGTATTTCGGTAGAAGTCGCCAACTGCGACGTTGTCTCAGACGATGCGATGCATCGTGATGTGGAGCGATCTGGTGGTGGAGAGAAAAAGGAATGGTGGCACTTAAGCCACATTTGGCAAGCGCGAGAAGTCGCGTCGCAAGTCGCGTGTCGCGACCTCCAGAATCACGCGTAGTCCAAGCTTGCTCCAACCACGACACTTCCCCGCCATGTGCATGTGCAATTGAACGTATCCAGCCTTGCAAAATCATTACGTCTTTCGATATACATCTTCAGTACTTGCATTACGCGTTTAATACCCCTCCATCTGGGTTTCCTGGTCTACCCCGTCTACGAAGACTTCACGCGGCCTCTACCTACGACCACAATCACACATCAGAACATACGAACCGCGAGCACCTCTTAACACCCATTTCTACGAGCCCAATCTAGGGACTTCAGCATACACCATGACATCAGCACCAACATCTCCGAAACGCGCGGTGGACGCGTCCGCGAAGCCTCGGCCAAAGCTGCTAGCAGCTCTGCGCAAAACCGTGGACTCTTCAGATAGCGAAGCCGGATCTGATAGTGACGCGTCTGCATCTGAGAATGATACAGCACCCACATTCAGCGCAAAGCCTTCAACAACAACACGTCGGGAGCCAGAGACAACGCAGGTTGACGAGGAAGACGAGAGCGATGGAGAAGACGCATACGAACTCATGAAGAAGAGACTCGCTGCCAACAAGAGCTCATCAACAGCACAATCGGCCGCGCCGCAGCAAGCACAACAGGAAGCACCAATTGTTTCCACCATCGAAAGTAGCGAAGATGAGGACGCAATGCCTGTACGAGCCACCATCCGCAGACCAGCCACCACCCGGACGAAGACTGCAAGCCCTCGAGCATCCGCATCGCCAAGCGTACGGTCACGACGGTCTTCTCCAGGCCTCTTTGTAACTCCAGGCCCATCACCGGCTAAGAAGCCATCGCGGCGATCAGCGAATGCCGGCTCAGACTCCGAAGAGTCTTCGCGACCCATCCATACTACCGACCTACAAGAGCGGGTACGACGCATTCGAGAGGAAAGGTTGGCGAAACAGCGAGAGGAGGAAGCGCAGCAGGCACAATCTAAGAAGCTCGCACGACGGCTAGCAGATCAGGGCTCTGGCAGCGAGTCGGATGGCGAGAGCGGCAGGCGGCTTACACAACAAGCGAAGCCAACCCGCAAAGCTGGAAAGAAGGCCCTGGAGGCAATGGCTCGCGACCAGCAGCGCATAAGCCGTAACATGCAGCTTACCCACCAAGCCAAGACAAAGAAGCGCTTCACAACCCAGGATCTGTTCAAGAAGTTCAACTACCAAGCGCCCAACGCCGAAGTCGTACCTCTCCCAACGCCAGAGGCCAGCTCGGCCCTTACATCGTCTGATGCAGAGGCAAACCAAATACAGGACACGCCGCCGACGAGTCCCCAAAGACAAAATGCTACGGAGGAAAAGGGTGCTTCCGTAGATCAACAAACATCTACCACGGCGCCCGAAAGCAACATTCAGCCACCCGAGCCCGCGAGAGTGGACAAGGGCAAAGGGCGAGCACCCGAGTTCCAACACTTGCCGGTACATCCTTGGATGAAGCAGGCAGATCCAGTCACTGTGCATACAGCGGCAGTGGAAACCAAAAAGACCTCCGACAATGATATGGTGGAACTTTCGGACTCGGACGATGATGCAAAGGTGGAACCGCCCAAGAGCCGATTCCCCGTCTTTGACCGGTTACCCACAAAGAAGGATAACGAGGCAGGGTCATTCGTACATCTACGTGCTCTCGCTCAGTTGACCAAGTCGCCACCAAAGGGCAAGAAGGGACAGAAGATAGTGACTCGTGGTGAGATGGAATTCGCCCTAGCTCAGAAGGCTCGCCAACAGACTGCGAAAGCCAAAGAGGAGAGAATAGCCGACTTGATCAAGCGAGGTCACAACCCTGAGACTGAAGAGGAGAGGGAGAAGCGCCAAGAGGAGATCGACGACATGGTCGCAATGCTCGAGAAGCAAAGGCAGGAGGACCTTGAACTAGCCAAGATGGAGAGGAAGGAGGCGAAGAAAAACGGCGAGACCATCGATGACCTTCCCTCCAGCGATGATGAAGACGGCGACTATGTCGGCAGCGGCGAGGAGGACGCCAACCAAGAAGAGGACGATGATCAAGAAGAAGCCGAGGTTGTTCTATCAGGCTCAGAAGACGAGCAGATGGAAGACGACGCTGAAGACAATCCTCTCATCGACGGAATGGCTGACGAGGACGACGAGCCAGAGCAGACAGTGCAAGCCCAGAACGTCAACGAGGATGTCGATATGGAAGACGAAGATGCCGTCGCTCCTGTTCGAAGGCAAACTATCAACCGTGCCCGCAACCGAGTCGTTGACGATGACGACGATGATGATGCAGAGGCTCCTAGGCCTGCCACACCCACTCAACCAGCAACTCAAACCGACACAATGGCCGCCTTTGGGTTCGGCAACGCCAACACCGGCATAGGCCTCACACAGATGTTCGCAGGCACCATGGCCGAGTTGGAGTCTGACTCCCAACCTGCTGCCGCCGTCAACACCGAACAAGACTCTCTAGAGTTCCTGCGAAACCTGCCCGATACCCAACCCGCAGCAAACTTTAGCCAGGCTTCGGAGTTTGTAGTCCCCAACAGCCAGACTTTCATGTCGCCACAGAAGCAGACACAGACTGGCGACGAGTCTCAATTCAGCATGGGGATCAGCCAAGTCGTCAGGACTTCCCCCATGTTCTCGCGGACCCAGGTCGAGGACTTTGAACCAACACAGGATGCAGGCTTCTCCTTCTCTCGGTCGCCAGCAGGCCTTGCCCCGCCACCATCAACGACCGATACCGTCATGGTGCCCATTGCCGAGTCGCCAATCAAGCAGAAAGGCAAGCTTCAGCGTGGACGGCGAGAGGCTGCTGTTGAGCTCTCTGACGTTGAAGACGACTCGATCGATGCTGAGGAAGAGAGCGAGGACGACATCCAACGCCCTCCTAAGCTCAGCAAAGATGCTTTCATGAAGTTGCAGCAAGCGGCTAAGAAGGCCAAGGCAGCTGAAGAATTCGACAAGAAGAAGAGCATGGCGAGAGAAGCCGTCATGGAACAAGCCGAGGAGTCTGAGGACGAATACGCCGGGCTTGGAGGAGCTAGTGATGATGAGGAAGGCGAGGAAGACGAAGATCTCAAGGACATGATCGACCACAACGACGTTAAAGTCAACGAGCGCCAGATTGCTGCTTTCTACGCGTAAGTTCAACTCCCATCTTCGTGTCATGTCAATACTAATCCAACGCAGTGACAAGACCAAGAAGGATGACGAAAAGCATCTCGCCGAGCTCTACAAGAAGATGCAAAGGAAGGGTGGCCTTCGCAGAGGTGGTGGCGGCTATGACGGCTTCGACATGTCTGACTCTGAAGACGAGGCCGAGTTGCGCCAGCGCAAGAAGCGCGCTGCATTCCAGAAGCAAACCAACGCTTTGTTGCAGGACCAGAAGGTCAAGGCACTCGCCGACGACGAAAAGAAGAAGGCGTTCTTCAAGACACTGGCCGACTTCGACGACGAAGGCGAGTACGACTATCTCAACATGCCTGAGAAGGAGCCGGACATGAACGACTCGCAGTCGCAGTCGCAAGAAGATGTTCAAGGCGACGTCATCGCCGTTCCAGACTCCCAGGCCGCCTCGCAAAACCTATCAGCACCAAACAGCCCACTCAAGCGCAAGTCCCAAGATTCCCAAAAAGAGAACCGACCACCCCCACACATGCGCCGCACAACAGCATCCGAGAGCCTCGCGCGCAAGCCTCTCACCGCCGACGACGTCAGAGACTCCATCTCAGAGCTCATCGAAGACACCCGCATCGTAATCCCAGACTCGCAGCTCTCGGACGCAGAAGACGACCACGAACCCGCCTTCGTCTCCGCAGCGCGCAAACCCATCATCGACCGCCTGACCCTAAGTCGGCAATCCACAGTCGAAGAGTCTGTGAGCGCAGACACCAATTTGGCCTTCCATGCTCCATCGCGCGGGGCTGCGACACCAGGGTTCCGTGTTCCGTCGCTCATACGCCAGGCAACTAGTAATCTGTCTGTCAGTAGCGAGCGGTCTGTGGGTAGCAGTGCGCCGAAGGAGAGTGGGGTGAGGAGAGGAGGTACGGGACGGAGCAACATCCATGCTCAGGCAAGGGAAGCGGAGCGGAGGGCGTTGCTAGAGAAGAAGGAGGGGAAGAGGAAGGAGGCGTTGAGGAAGAAGGTGGAGGGTGGGAGGAAGCAGGGGATGAGGAGTGTGCTTAGTGATCTTGGTGGTGGGTTTGAGTAGGTGTTGAGGAGGTGATGTTTCCAGCATGTACGCGCGTGGTGTTGGGTGTTATGTAGTGCGCTAGATAGGTATCACTTCGCTGTAGCTTTTTCTTTATAACATGCTGCAACTACTCATCTACTATTTCTAAACTTACCTCCACCGCCCATCCCTACTCTCTTCCTTCAACGCGCTCGCACGCATAATGCACCTTCAATTTCTGACTGATTACCTCTTGCATCCCAAACTAAGTAAGTTCTACCGCTCACACACTAGTTATGCATTGTTCAAGAAAGTGTCGCCCTCAGGCTCGTACTACAACATGCCAAAAAAAAAACAGCAAAAAAACAGATCAATGGAACAGGCCCCTGCCTCCGCCAGTTCGATGATTCACTCTCTAACGTTACTCGAGCACATCCGGCCAAGGGACGTCTCCCTTAGCCGGACACACTCAGGTGCCATGTACCCGCTAAGCAAGCCTAGCAGGTACATGATACCCGACGCCCCTTATGGGGATGAATCTCCCATCCGTTATGTGTCAGTGAGAGGGATCGAACCTCTAACCTAACCCGAGTTGGGTTGGTTGGCAAGTCGTTTGTGTTGTGCCGGACACTTGTTTTGATGGAAAATTGTCAAAGTAAGTGGTATATATTAGGAGAGAGAAGGAGGATGAATAGAGGTTAAAGTAAATGGGGTGAGTGGGTGGCAGCGTTGTTGTGGTGATGGCAGTGTTGTTGTGGTGGTGAGAGCGTGTTTTGGTGGAGTGGGAGCTTAAGTGAAGGTGAAAGCGAGAAATGGAGAAAACCACGGAGTCGGCCGAGGGACGTGTTGGGTATGAACACCAGCATCGAAATCAAAGGATAGAAGAGAAGAGGAAGGATTGACGTGTTGAAGTGAGGAAGCTGAGTATCGAATGTTTAAGACTTTTGACTAGAGGGCGGAGAAGGTAAGGAAGCATCGCCAACAGAACAATGAAGCCTTCACCACCCTGACCAGCATCGGTATCAAATAATACAAGATAAGAGACTGGCGCATGAAAGCAAAGGAGTTGAGCAGAAGATGTGTGAGAGTTTTGACTAGAGGGCGAAGATGGTAAAAGAAACATCGCCAACAGAAGAATCAACCCCTCACCGCCCCTCACCTGAAGGAAGAAAGTAAACGCAATAGCCAGGTATGCGTGTCTAATGTTACAGTATATACAAGATCGTCTCAGTCATACATCACACTACACACGTTCACTCACCCAAATGGCGCCTCTACATCCTCCTCTTATAACTTCATTCAGCAGATCATAGGGCTTCGCGCTCTTGGCATCATTCTCCACCGCATGGTCCAGGTGCTCTAGCTCTTCATCTCTAATACGCCGCAACTCAACCACCAACTTGTCCAGCTCGGGTCCCAGACTCTCACCCCTCTGCTCGCACTTCTTCGCCCAGTCTAGCAGCACGCGCACCTGCTCATTGTAGTGGTTACCAATCTCCGTCTCGACAGCCTCTGTGCATGCCATGGCGGCCTCGCGGCCCATGACAGCGGTCGACCACCCGAGCATGCTGGCGGCGGCCGTCCATATGGGCGTCATTGCGGTGGGTCGTATGCGGTGCTTGGAAATGACGTCGTTGAAGAACTTGTAGTGGCCGGCTTCTTGGTCGTACATGTGTTTCATCAGCGGCCGCAAGTGCGGGTGTGACCGTGTGAGGACGGGCGATTGGGCAGCGTAGATGAGAATGGCGGCGAGTTCACCCGTCTGGTTCACTCGCAGCGCGGAAGAGAGGAACTCCTGCTGCTGCTGCGAAAGCGGCCGTATTGGGTTGCCATCTTTCTGCGTCTGCAGTGAAGGCGGTGATTGCGCGGAGTCGGGCTGTGAAGGCGGGGGTTGCGGCGCGGCGACGGTGCTGGCCAGGCGTGACGTTTGGCGTGGTGGGCATGTGGTACTGGGGGCAAGAAAGTCGAGCACAGGGTATTGGAGGCTGCGACGGGCCACATTGCGCGATAATGCTCGCGGTGAGAGCAGGACGGGAGACATGTTCCAGGCCGGGCTATTGTGTACAGGTGAAGGGGCGAAGCTATTGTTCTCGAATTCAGTGAGTCGGACAATAGGCGGGTGAGGTATGATGCGCTCAAGGCACGCTAACACGACCCACTTTTCAACGCGGCATGGCCTGAGCTCAACGAGCGTTTCCCCGACCTTTGGACTTCCCACGTTCTTCTTTCATCCTCTTCCCCCCTGATCACGCCCAAATTCACTCACGGCACCCTCCGCGACACCGGGTCCGTCTCCAACGCGCCTCCACGATCCAGAAATCACCGCGAAATCCTCGCCAATCCCACCCAACATGTCGGCCGATGATATCGACGACGAGCTCTTCGCCCTCGCTGGCGGTGACGAAGATGCAGACGTCGAAGAAGGCGAGGCGTGAGTACCATCTCTCACCTATCATTCTCCTCCTCTGCCTCTGCCTCGCTACTTTCCCTCGCTCCTCTCCTCTCCGTTCCGCTCCGCTCTATTCTCCACCGACCGCTCAACCCCCTACCGCAACATGGCGCTGACTCCACGTAGCTCGTCGCCCGCAGCCTCGTCGCCAAACTCGTTGGGTTCCGACGCCATGGACGAGTCGGATTCAGATCGCGACGATGACGTACCAGAGCGCTCCGCAGACGTCCCTTACCCCCTAGAGGGCAAGTACATCGACGAATCAGACAAGCGCCGCATCCTGGGCCTATCGCAGCTGGAGCGGGAAGAGATCCTCGGTCAGCGTGCCGAGGAGATGAGCAGCGCCAACTTCAAGGCCGAGCTCGCCAGGCGCGCCGCCAACGTCCAGAACGACAGGAAGCGCAAGGCTGATTCCGAAGACGCCGACGAGCGCAGGAGCACTCGCCCCAAGGTGCAACCGCGGAAGAACGAGAAGCTCGAGGCATACAAGCGTGAGCGAGAGCAGCGCGGTCAGCAACGACAGCGCAACGACGACCGACGCAGTGGCCGCAGGCGGTCCAGCTCGGGAGATCGTGACGGTGGCTCAGATGTCGACGCTGATGGTGAGAGCGACGTGGAGTGGGACGACCGAGCACCAGAGAAGGCCCGCGAAGAGCTGCCTGCCACCCTCCGCGATTTCGAGTCGGTTCGTGTTGGTAGAGGATTCTTCTCAGAAGTCTGCTTCCACCCAGGCTTTGAGGAGGCTCTGACTGGCGCATTCGGACGTGTAGGCGTCGGTCAGGACTCACAACGGCGGACACTGTACAAGATGGCGCAAATCAAGGGTATGCACGACACCGGCTGTATCGCAGACTATGCTAACTTGTTATCCAGGCTTCTCAGCTGGCAAACCATACGTTTTTGACGGCAAGGACGGCAAGCGCGTCGCGACTGACCAATACGTTATTGCGCAACACGGCTCCGTGAAGAAGGACTACCAGTTCCAATTCATGTCCAACCAACGCTTCACCGAGAACGACCTCGACACCTACCGGCAATCCCTCATAGAGACCAACGCCAAGGTCCCCACGCAATCCTTCCTCCAGCGTAAATACGACGACCTCAAGGCGCTCCAAAACCACCACTGGACCGACGCCGACATCAGCGCGCGCATCGCCAAGTCAAAGAAGTACGCCCACCTCCTCAACCGCCCCAACGCCGACGCCCAGCCCAAGATCGCAACCCAATCAGAAACAGCCGCCGCCCGCATCGCCGAACTGAACCGCAAGAACCGTATCCAGGAAGCCGAACGCGTCCGCAAAGCGCAGTTCGACCAACAGCGCCAGAAGAAGATGGAGCAGAAGAAGGAACTTGCTAGGCGCAAGGCCGAGGAAGAAGCTCGCAAGGCGCAGGAGGAAGAGGCACTCAAGAAGAGCAATAACCTGGATGTTGATGCGCTGTTCGATGGCGATGGCTCCAGCAGAGCGAGCACGCCCAACCCGCAGCAGCCGCAGAAGAAGAAGACGGAGCGGAAAGGTCTGCCCACGTTTAGGAAGCCGAAGATGGATGACGATATCATTGCTAGTATGGATATTGGCATGGATATCGAGATCTGAGCGGCCTCAAAGCATATGGCTAGGTGTGGCGTTAGTATTGGGCTTTGGCTTGCCTTCTTCTTTTCCAGCTTGATCTTTCTGTTATAGACGATGACACCAAAAGCTTGCACATTTTGGTTCTTAGCATTGCGTGGTGTTTGAGGTTGCCGGCTGCCCTGAGACCCATGGGTGAATGAGTGTCTTGGGTATTATGGTGTTTCGTGCCAGTATTTGGTATGCCTTCTTGAATTAGTATTATATACCAAAGACCTTTATTTTCGAGATCAACTCGTACGCTTCACGTCATACCAATAAGACTACGTCAAATCATAACGGATCCAAACTCCAATGTAGAAAACCTTGTAGATTCCACAACACTCTCACAACCGCTACTTCCCCAATATCTACGTCTACGTCTCAAAAACCTGTTCCACATCCCCAAAATCGCCGCGCTCCCTACAATCCCAATACCCGTCCTTCCCGCCCTTGAGCCTCCAAACCTCCTCATCGCCCAACGCCGCCGCCTCTACAGGCCCCACCTTGGTAAACCACCTAGGCTGCCACTCCTGGCCATGTTCTTCCAACACACGCCTGCGACTCCGCTGCCTCTCTTCCAGCTTCGCCTTCAGCGCCTCTGCTTTATCCACATCCCCGTCTTCCAACGCGCGCTGATCAGGTCGCAAACGGGAATCAGTGGGCGCCATGTGGTCTTGCTCTATGGATGTGACTTGGTTGAGTGCAGCAGCGAAAGTGGTAAGACCGTAGTGTTTCTCTGCTTTATCAACCAGATCACCCGTTTTCCAGATTGTTTTTCCGGTGGGTTGGCCCGAGGACGTGAGTTGGAGGTCTGATGTCCATTTCCCTGTCAGACCCATTGGTAGAACGGCACCTGAGGCGTCGAAGACTTGGACGGAGACTTCTTCTGAACGACCAGCGAACATGCCACCCGCTTTGAATGTGCATACGGCTTTTGCGCCGGTGGTTTCAGAGATGATAGTCATGGTGCCGGAGGGTTC